GTATTTGGGTCTTTTAAGGGCCTAATATACCATCATGGTAGACAGATATTTAGTGTTTTATCGCTATAGACAGTATTCTGTAATTTTATCTGCCAAACATGAGGACAGTGAATGAATTTCGACCATCAGACAGAATAAAGATTCTAAATACTCGACATTTGCCTCTTACCTGTAATTATTTTTATTTAATTTAATAACTGTACAGCACTCTCAGTTTATAGTAACCATTATCCTTAATGTAAATATGTAAGAAAAATTGTGTATGTTTCTGTTCCGTGTCCTGTGTACTGTTTGTTTGTATATTTGTCTTTTTGGCTGCTGTTACAACCAAATTTCCCCTTGTGGGACAATTAAAGGATTATTCTACTTAGGGTTTCATCCACAAATTTAATCCTTAGTCCCTTAGGACAAACCTAACTTAGGGTTTTAGCTCCAAACTTAAGTGAATTTTTAGAAAAAAAATAGAATTTTTGCAGCACTTATGAGGTCAGTGATACATTTTCTTTAGCAGTAGAAAGTCTCTCCCCCACCCCCCGACTTACGCGACTTTCTGCTTGCGTGCAGTGTCTGGGTCTGAAGCGGTGTACTGCACCACGACTTCATCCACAGCAAGGTTCTCTGGTTTTACTACAAGCTTCTCCTTTGGATCAAATATTGGAGCTTCATTCACATCCTTCACATTCACTACCACTGTGGCAGTAGAAGTGACCACAGAAACACCAGGAGCAAAAGGAATCTCATTCTCCACTGAAATCAACAGAGTGTGCTTGCTGGCCCTCTCAAAGTCCAGCTCCTGGTTGGTAGGAAGGGAGGGAGGGAGAAAAAAAAACCAAAAACACAACATAAGGGTGTTGGCACATATTTTTGTGAGGATACAAGAAATCACAAAAATGCTGCCATCAAATGACACAAACATTCATAGATGATAAGTATCTCCCAATATTATGCAAGAATTCCTGATTTTCTTCCTACCTTTGCAGTAGAAAGGATTCCTTCCTGTTTGTTAGTTCCTGTTTTTACTGTGAAAAGTCCATCAGGATCACCACTGACGATCTTGAACTTGGCGTTCCAGGCTGGAGTTTGTGGTTCATCCTCATCGGTTACTATCATCCTAACCACCTCAACATCCTTTTTGTTTTCATCAACTGTTGCAGTATACTGTGAGAAAATAAAGGGTGGGTCAGAAATCACAGCAGTGAAAACAGATCTAAAGACTCCTCACTAGGAATAGAGAATAACGGCCTCATTTTGTAGTTTTTGTCATTATATTAGGTTCATTACTTAATGCAAGTCTACAACTGTGCAGTAAATCATTTTTTGTGTCTTTTGGCACAAAAACAAAAGCCACAACTCACAATTTATGGCAACCATGACCCAGAGTGAGAAGTAGCTATCATTAAAATACTTTAAATACATCTGAGCATCACTGAGCATCGTTGCTTGTTAAGAGTTTTCTTGCTGTTTGTTTTGAGAGATTTAGATTCAATAAAACCATTTATTGGAAGATCATTTTGTATGTATGCATGTAATTTTGTCATGAACATAAACCCATTGTGGGTTTTTGCTGTGTCAGTATGTGTGAGTGCAACATTAGTAATGCAGTTAGATACAGGATGAATGTGTTCTGCTTTAACAAAGTGAAAAAGCAGCAGTTAAACAGAAGTTTCCAGTTACTTCATACTTACTGAGCTCTGAGTGAAGACTGGAGCGTTGTCATTGCTGTCCGTCACCGTGAGGATGACTTTTGTTTGTCCAGTTAACCCCTCTCCACCCATATCTGCTGCTTGTACTGTCAGAGTGTACTCTGGATATTTCTGTTAAGATACAGACATCAGCTCATCAACAGGAAGAAGAAACACTAACATCAGTTTACAGACTGTAACGCAGCCTTCGGACTGACTAAAGCTCTTCATCTATGAAGGCCGATTCTGCTGAGAAGCTGAAGCTAAACTCATTTAATATTTTGCTTATGACAAACATGATGCTGTTGAGAGCCTTGGTAAAAGTTTTTAAATTAATGAATTCCATAAATAGTTGGCATGAGGCTGTTTGTTGTTGCTCTGTGAAGTCAGTTGCAAAGAGTTTTATGATGCTGCACCAGAAACAGATTGCTCTGATCTACCATAGTTTGCATGGAAGACACAGACTAGTCTGACAAACTATTTGCCAAGTATGAAATGTGTGTCCAGAGTCATGACACAAACCAGAAATGTATAGATAAACTATAACTATACTTCAGAGACTGTGTCAAATTTGAGTTTCATTATCAAAAAACAAAACTTTTTTTTGCAGCGCCCTCTTTGTGACTGATTTCTAGCAGTGACAGACTACTGATCCTGATTCATTATAAAATGGTTTTTCAGCCCTTAGGTGTAAAAGGACACTTATGTTTTAAATATGTTTAACAAATCTTACCTCTCTGTCTAGTCCTGTACCAGTGACTTTGATGCTTCCAGTAACTGAGTTGATTTCAAACATGTTGT